TTTAAAAGCAGGGCACTTCTCCTTCAACTTACTGATGTCATCGGCAGTCAGATTTTCCAGGACATCACTAGGTGGCTCTATCAGAGGCTTCCCTTCTTTGCTGGCATCCTTAAATGGGCAGCCTTCCTTTGTTTGGAAAACAGGGCATTCTCCAACTTTTTCTTCCAAGCTTTTTGACTCAGAATGGATAGCCTTTAGCATGTTTAGTAATTGCTCATGTGCTGAACCTGTGTGGTGCTTTGATTCTGGCATCTTAGAAAGTTCCTCCAGCACCTCCTTCACATTGTCAGCACCTTTGAAGGGGCAACCCTTTTGGAACTCGGGGCACTTTTCCAGTTCCTCTAAGAAGAGATCTTGTGCAATCTTGGAATAAGGGCAGCCCTCCTTAAATGCTGGGCAGTGGTCCTTAACAGACTCTTTGTCATAGTCATGCTAAAGAACAAAGCAAGATAAGAGAATCAAGGAAAGTTCTAAGTACTCCGTCTTAAAAATGTCTGCTTTTCATGCTTTGCTTAAAATCAGTTCCTTTTAAAAGCAATAAAAAATTGGAAATTGTTTGAAAATAACAGTCAATTTCAACACTAAGAAATCTGTCCTTAGATCTTCTGTCCATTGGTTACAAGAACAATTTTGCAACTCTGGTTACAGATAAATATTTTTCCAAAACAAGAAATCCGAATTTGGATTTCTTAATCATAGTAGGTAGGGGAGACTGATTATGACAGGTGACAAACATCAAAGAAGCTTATGTTGGAAGCTTCCTGAGTCCACAATCATTAGTTGTCTGTTCACAAGTTGTGACTGAATATAAAATAAAATAATTTTTATAAGTCAATAAAATCAAAATTATAGGAATACTATTGAATGTTGTGCACTTTCAGGCCCCCCAAAACATAATATTATGTGTGACAAATGAGTCTGAGAGGCTTCACCACCATTCAACTCTATTTATTGTCTTAATATTATTGCCATCTACCTAGAGGATGGATTTCTCAGTATGGAAATCTGTTTTTGGATTTTGGGTTTTATAACAAAATCTGCAATCCAGATTTCAAATTCTAAATACAGATTTCCTAATCATATGCACCCGAGTGAAGTTTTATAGAGATCTCAAGTAAGGACGTTTTTGAGCCACGCACGTCAACTGCAAGTGGACGTTTTCCATTCTTGGACAGCGACTTTGCCCCAGTTTTCAGGCAAATTGTCTATAAAGTAATTAAAGACACTTAGCAAAACAAATTTGGCAGCATCAAGGCATATTGAAGGGAAAAACATCTCACTTCCGGTTTATATGGGAATTCAGTTTCCCGCTAGTGCTTTCCTTTACCTACTATGCTTTTATATATAGTTTTTTTATGATGATGATTGTTATTATTAGTTTTAGTATATTTTTGTATAATGGTAAAAAGCATTATTAAACTTAACCTTGAACTACGTGCCTCGTCCAAAAACACCTTTGTTTGAGATCCCTTGACGACTTCCGCTAAATCACGTGTCAAGCTGAAATTTCTGTTTCGCTAAAAATATTTCATGTACTAACAACAAGTGCAAGTCAAAAGGTTTAGAACCATGCCACTGTGTTAATTTAATCTGTAGTGTTGAACGATTTGAAAAGATTCAATATTCACAGCTGCATTTACGGCGATAAAAGCTCTCTATAAAATGTGTTATTGAAAGTCAGTAGCCAATATCGAACGATATTGCACGGATCGATGTACTAAAGATACGAACGAACAATAAAATATTTTCAGTAAACTTTGTTTACCTATCCTGGACTCTAAAAAAATGAAAGATTATCAACCTTAAATTGAATTTGTAAGGTTCTACAGCATTTGATTCTTTGGACTGGGGCTTCGTGAAAATAGCGGTTATGAAAACAATAGACTTCCAGCACGAGTTGAATATAGCCTTCTGCACGAAACGGCACACGAACAAAAAAAAAATCAATGATCTTTCACCAAGTAACATTCTTGTCGAAAATCTATAAAAATACTTTGCTAAAATACGAGAAAAATTGCTGTACGTACCTCAGACTGTACAGTTCCCGCCATCTCAGTGAAATAACGCCGGCTGAATCAATCAATCAAACCGCAAATGGGACTAAGAACGTGTGACATGTCATGTTTGACGTCATATGCACAACGGGTATACGTCACGATTGTCACGATAATGCACCAGTCATTTGAAACCCCCGCTTCCGCCATTGGGGGATACTCGGGGCAAACCAGGGGTTTTCACCTCGTTTTCAACTCGATTGGGTTCCCCCGGTGTAAATAGAGAGCTTAAGCAACAGCGTTTTTGAGCGACGGACGTCAACCGGAAGTGGACTTTTTGCATCATTGGGCAGTGGATTGGTTCAAAGTCTCGGGCAAATCGTTTTTATAAGAGAAAAGAAACTTAGCAATACAAATTTGTTAGAGTCAAGGCATATAAAAGAGAAGAAGGCCTCACTTCCGGTTGACGTACGTCGCTCAAAAACGTCTTTGCTTAAGCTCCCTAATGACAGGCCTGCACGACTCCCTTGCTCGTGTTTTAGCCGTTATCACAGTTTTGCTCTAACGAGTGTATATCCTGTAAAGACCCCCCTTTCTTTATGGCGGCTCCTCAAATATCCCTTTAAGTAATGGTTGGTTTGTAATCAAATGCCATGTGCTCATAAGAATTTGTTTCAAGTTAGGCACTAATGGTTGAAATTGCGTTACAAAAGGCAAGATGCGTTTGTTTTCTTTACGCTTGTTGAAGGGCTTTTTTCCTGTCCTCAAAATTCACTATTGCCTGCGTGGCAGGCTTTTGAAAGGGAAGGGGAAGTGAATTAGGGCGCGAGACCACGCGCGAGGGAAATATGTCTTCACTGTCTTTATCCGAATAACTCTGCAAGTGTGGAAATGTGGAAATGTGGAAATGTGTTTTAGTTATTTTTTAAATCCGAATAACTCCGGAAGTGTGGAAATCTGGAAATGTGGAAATCACGAAATGTGTCTGGGACGCCTGGAAGGGGGGTACTTGGGTTAATTTTTGCTGGGTATGTGTCGCTGGCCTCTGAGCCTCTGAGAGCCCCTACCCCATTATTGTCTATTCTGTGGCCTATTATAGACCCACCTTAGTCACTTTTGGGCAAATTAGTAATTTTCGGAATCCCAACTATATAGTCACTTTCTATTTTTATGAATTGATCCATTTTCAGATTAAATTAAGAACACTTTACTTTTCATCTACAGTACAAACATTCTGGAAGGTTTGCTAACCATACATATGAAAAACTGTCCTACCCCAAAGAATCCGAAAATGTGCGACCCCATTCTATTAACTCTATTGAAAATACGACCCCATTATAGTCATTCCCGTCGTGAAAATGCGACCCCATCCAGCGGCACATCCCCATTAGCCTCTTATAAGGAAGTACCCCTCCCCCCGGGCCGGGATAACTAAGACACATTTCCAGCTTTCCACATTTGCACACTTGCGGAGTTATTAAATAAAGACAACGAAGACATATTTCCACATTTCCACACTTCCAGAGTTACTAGATAAAGACAACCAAGACACACTTCCACATTTCCACACTTCCAGAGTTAATAGAAAGAGAAAATGGAGACACATTTCCATATTTCCACATTTCCACAGTTTTAGCAACGAAAATTAATCGATTCTACGTTGACAAGACATTATAGTGTTTTCATGTCAATGCATACAGTTGTCTCTATTACGACTACTGTCGCGTACTGATTTGTCATAAATTAACGATAATGTTACTCCTTTGCCCCGTCCATTCTGATGACGCGTTGTGTGCTCTTGAAAATTGAACCCGTTTGTCGCTTCTATAACTTGTAGCCGGTATCAAATTACATACAAATTATCGGTGAATTTTTGACTGCAACTTCTTAGTATACGATGAGATGGAAAATATTTCAGTGGATGAAATTTCTATATAGACATTCATCAAATTCAAGAAAACTGAGCCGGCAGAAATTTCATAACGAAGACGCGTGTGTATTCACAATTTGTATTCACTGCTCATTACGCAAGCAGAAATGCAGACTGAAATCAACGGCTGGCGGCATTTTGGCCAATCGGAACAGTGCAAATCATCCGTATTGTTTCCTATCTAATCAGAAAAAAGTTCAGATTCTGGCTTTTTTGCATGAGATATGCTGAAGGATCGTATCATGCCCACCTCCCGAAAACAGATTACAGAGATAAAGGTTGAGGGCATGATCGCAGGCTAGTTGCCCGGGGGGGGGGGGACCTCCAATATAAAAGGGGCGGGACTGCTCGTGGGAAATTTTGAATAAAAAGCTTAAGGGAAAGTAATCTGGGCGGGGCCAAACCTTTTTTTGCCCCTCAAAAGCAATCATTTTAAACTTTGTTTACAAAAATTAGGTAAATAAACAATGCCCGGGGGGGGGGGGAACTCCCATATCAAAGGGGCGGGAATGCTCGTCGGAAATTTTGAATTAAACGCCTAAAGGAGACTAATCTGGGCGTGGCCCAACCTTTTTTTGACCCCTAAAAGCGATCATTTTAAACTTTGATTACAAGAATTGAGTCAATAAAACGAATTGATAATATATAATTTTTTAATATTTCTTCGAGTGCAACCCTAAAAGAGACCTTTACGGCTAAATATAATGGTGTTTTGCCCAGAACACCAGGCTAAGCGAGACCAAAATCTGAAATTTTCCCCCCGTTTATCACGTGGTGTTTAGTTTGAATGTAACTTGTTCTCGATCCGCAGATGACATTATTGTTGGTTTTCACATGACGTCACTAAAATTCAAACTAAAAAACTATAGATCCTCCCGAGATTTTACTTTCATGATGCATTAGAGCAGCTGAAAACTAATTTCCATAAAAATTTTAGCTTCAAAAGGGTTCTTGGTTTTGTGATAGAGTACGCTTGAATTTCTAAGCTTTTGCGTGACGCGGCAATTACATGACGACCAAGAGAGCTGTCATGTACGTTAAAAAAATGACTTATTTCAGGAAATTTTGTTATCTAAACAGTTCATGTATTAGAAAAAGTATTACTTTAATGTTTATGAGTTTCTCGAAGAATAAATTCACGCTTTTGTAGCAAAACTCGGTAACAGATGTTTCTATTGGTTTCCGTCCGCCATGTTGGAGCTCATCCAGGTGAGCACCAGCCTGGCGTCTCCATACAAATCTCTGTAAGTTTGGGTAAAACATTTCTTCGGATATCTTGTATACGAAAAATTCCTCTGACCTGAATCTTGACGAACGTCTTTGTATATGTACCTCCTTTCATTTCCCAGATTCTGGACTTTATCTATTGAACGGTTTTGATTTTGATTTTGATCTATTTTGAATGGCGTGACACTGAAAACCAGCAATTTGTGTGGTCCGTGTAATCGCCTCTATGGTTAATTATTAGTTAAGAACGTCCTTGAGATTATTAGACACCGTAATTAAAAGTCAAAACGACTACTGCAAAGACTGATCAAACAACCTTGAAAAGGTTGAGGTAAACAATATTTCGACTGGCCAATACCAGTCTTCATCAGGGTTATTAGGAAAAACCAAGAATATACTGACTGATCACCATCTTGTTTGATCCAACGTTTAGCTACATTGATCGTTTACGGTTTTTGAAACCTTAGTTGACATTATGAATGAAAAGATTTTTCTCATTTTATCGCGGGAAAAATTATCTTTCGCATAATAATATCTTGCAACAACAATTTTGGACACAAATACCGTAAAACACCGAAAATAAGCCCGTTGAAATATAAGCCCCCAGACTCGTAGCCCAAAAAAACCCTCCGTTAAATTGCCCCTCCAAATATAAGCCCTACGTAGGCTTGCACCTGGAAATGACGCTCAAACACAAAGTAAAACAAAGCAAAACCGGTAAATTTCCTTCCAACCGGCTATAAGGCTAGCCCAATCGATTTTGAAACGCAAATTTCCCTCCGTAGAGTAAGCCCCTCCGAATATAAGCCCCTCCAAAAATAAACCCCTCAAAAAGGGCCTTTGAAAAATATAAGCCCCTGGGCTTATTTTCGGAATTTTAAGGTATTCTTTCCAGAGGGTCCCTAGCCAAGTCGAAAAATTCCAAGGGTTGGGGAGAGGGGTTGTGGGGGGTGTGGGGGGGGATTAAAGCAAAAGTGCCCTCCCACGGGGGTATGGATATTTCTGGAACTACGCCATACAAAGTCTCATATTTTCAACGTAAAGCGACACTGGCGCGTCCAGTACAAAGGAAGCCTTCTCTCCTCCTCTCCCCTAGACCCTTAGGAAGGCCTGATACTCAGACTAGCACAAAGGTCACGCGTCACCCATGGTATGTAAATTACTTTATATCCTTTCCTCGTGGGCCGCTTGTGGCTGAAGTGAGGTTTATACTTTGCTGTTTGCTCGATTTACACCTCTGACATGGTGAAACGCCAAAGCTGATAATTGTTTCCGCTGCTATAATTTATAACAAGGGAAAATGCTTAGCGTCAAATTAGTTTATGCAACACTGAATTTGCTTGCCGGTTTCATGGTAAATATTGCTTGATATTTCTAGTACATTCTTATTCTTCCTTAATGGTCTTCCGGAATTGTTACTGACATCACTGACGACTGAGATAAAGACTTTACCGCCCTGTATAAAACTGATACCGGAAGTAATAATCACAATTCTACAACAAGCATAGGTTGTTCTTTCGAAACGGGACGAACCAAATTTCGTTGGATTCAGCCCCCCCGGTGGGGGGGTATTCCCTTATGTAAGCTATGCAGGTATGTGCCGCCCCATCGGATAGGGTTTTTGTGCCATTTTGGTCTGAAAACGGCTATACACTTTGCCCATTTTGGTCTGGAATCGGTTTGGGTTTTCGAGGGAACTACTGGAGTGTATGAACATTTTTATCGTTTCAATTCCAAATGAGTAAGAAAGAAAGAGAAATAAACAAATTCGAAATGGATTTGAATAATTTTTGTGTTTGCACCCTAATCTGATAATGATAACATAATTTCTGCCTAAAGACCAGGTGTGAAAACGGGACGTATAGATTTCAGAGGTCTGGTCTGAAAACAGGTTTGGATAATTACATTTTTTGGACTGAAATCCGGTCAGGATTTGAAGAACCGGGCGGCACATCCCCACCAAGAATTCCCAGGAGTAACCCCCCGGGAATTTCGCTAATTTAGAAAACAAATAATACGATAGTTGGTTTTGCAGTCACTTGTAGATTGTATTTTCAAATTACAGTTTACCTATCATGACTTATTACGTCTCAGTAAACTGAAATGTTTGGTTTTTAGAAAGACGATTTTTCTCAGAAAGCGATTACTAAAGCGTGACGTTTCCAAGAACTGATTAAAGCAGTCACGCACTATCAGCTCCAGGAAGTAGAAAGCTCTAAAAGAGACATTGGGAAAGCGAAGGACTGGGCCCCGCTTGCATCTCATGAATCTCAGTAAACTTTAAAATAAGTATACGTGGTCGCTTAACAAATGGCGAGCGGTGTTAAGCTTGTTGAATGAGTAGAAAACAAATTCAACGTTTTTTAAAAACGATATTGTTGTTTAACAAGTCGCTACTTTAATTGAACGGATCGTATCGATCCCACCCATTTTTGTTCTCGTTCAACAAAACGTTTAACATGTCGAATGGCCTATTACAGCATTCAACATGGCACGATACGCGGGCTTGGTTGAAACATTTGTTGGTCAAAAAATGACCTTTTCCACATATTCACGGGTGTTATAATTAAAACGACCGTACCTTGCACTAATCTGCTGACTTTGGTATTCTTTAAACTGTGTTGAAAAAAAAATCTGGGAAAATGGAACACAGCAGGCGCACTAGCACTAAACGTAAACATCTTTTCTCATAGTTCTCTTTCACATCTTTTCGTCTGTGTGATCAATCGCTTTTTGTTCTAGGTTCTTAGTGAGATGAGCAGTCAGGTATGTGATAAACTATCGGAAAGGCCATGGCAAAAATACGATACATCGTCTGTACCAAAGATTCCGGGCATTTATGCCATAGGTGAAAAAAAAGTTGGAAGCAAGAAAATTGAATACATGTATGTTGGAAGATCAGAGGATATGAAAAGAAGATTACAGCAGCATAAAGGTCCAACCCCGCAACAAGACATAGACCAGTGAATGGCTAGAAAATTTAAACAGCAGAAGGAATCTGAGCTCAGGATAAAGTATGTTTCCGAAAAACAGCAGAAAACAAAAGAAGGTGCGTATATTGACTGTCTGACGAAGAAGATTGGACACCGTCCTGTGATGAACAAGCGCTCTGGTGACAGTTGCGCGTCGATCCTGTGCAGTGGGCCACAAACAAAGTACCAGAAACAAAGTTCAGAAGACTGGTTCTAAAATGAAATTACCCAGCAAAACATCTACCATTAGACCAGTAACCAGTAGATCTAAAGTAGGAACCTCTGGCCCTACAGCACGGTCATCCAGTGGCTCTAAAGTGCGATCTTCAGTCAAAGTGTCTTCTGCTCGATCTTCGAGTGGGTCCAGAGTGGGGTCCTCTGGTGGTACTAAAGTGCGATCAGGAGTCACAGCTTCACCTAGGTCATTTGGTGGGAGGAGAGGGAGATAGGCGTTTTCTGATAGGCCATGCTTTATAGATGTTCGCAGGAGCCGATTAATCAGCCTCTGATGCCTTTTTTTTAACTTACCTTTTTATAGGAAATTAACGCTCCATGTATTGTTGGAAATTACTGCGACTTAAATTAACACGAATTTAATGGAAAACGACTTTCGAAAAAAGGAAATTAACGCGAAAAAGAGGTTAAAATTTCAAAATGAAGGAAACTATATCAACGCGACGTTCACAAAGAAACAAAGCTTACTGAGACAACAGGAAAAACGTTTAAACGCGGTATAAATGGTTCTTTCCCTCCGTACGAAGAAAAAAATCTGACCACTTCGAGGGTTCCACTTACACTTACAATGGCAGGTCTCCACCCTGATAAAATACTCCTCTTTCTTGGGTATAAAAATATCTGAATTGCATCGAAAATTTGGGGTCAAGATAATGGAAATTAAGGTCGCAGAAACGAACGCTACACTTAATGATAAACGGCACAGAAATTAACGTTTACCGAAATTAACGCGACTGAAATAAACGCGAATTTTTGAAGTTCACGATAATTTCATGAAGCGTTAATTTCCTATAGTAAGGTATTCGAGTATTCATCTCGATTATCAGTTGAATCAGGAAACATTACTAACCGGTTATGACTGTCTTAATACTTAGCCTGGGACCAGGCTCTGCATTGGAGGAAAAAGGCAAAAAGCGGGGTCAATAGGAAAAATATCGGCAAGCGGTTGCCTGGGTGTTGCCACCCTTTCCCCTCCCCAGAATACTTCTCGGTTCGCTTCGCTCGCCGATTTTTTTTTCGCTCACGCCGATTTTTTTGTCCTTTTCCCCCAATGCAGAGCCTGGTCCCAGGCCACTTAATACTAGATTGCCGCGATATCTCGCACTTGTCACTAAATGGAGAAACATTCTCATTTATTTGTTGATGTTTTGCAGATAAATACAGCCTTCTTGACAGGTATTCGAAATTTAGGGTAAAAATAAGGCGAACTAACGCAACAGTAGGTGGTGTTCAAATTTTGAGCTTTGGGCTACCTGAGCACTTAGTCACTGCCAATATCTCTTGGATCTGTGATTGTAGATTGTAGTGTAAAAGGAAAATTAAGTTTACCCAGCTAGCACTGCACGTTATAATCCGGTCTGTGATCCCCCCAGAACCACATAAAGGAGCTTCAATTAAAACAAAACGAAAACACACTACATGGAGTTTTTCTGTGATCAGTTCTATTTCGCTCTTTGCTGAACTGAAACAATTAGCAATTATTCTTTGAAATCGAGGTGAATAGTGGCTAAATATTTACCGAGCCGCGAAGGCGGCGAGGTAAATATTCCCAAAGCCACTATTCACCGAGATTGAAAAGAATAATGGTTTTAATATATACACACGAAGTGATCTCAACAAAATCAGAGAAAAAACCATTAAAAAGTACGATTTGATTGACAGATCAAATCACGCGTAAGTTTAAAAATAGATCTTTGCAGAATTTTCAAACATGGCAATTCACAAGTTTATCATTTCGCAAACGACAGCGTAATGGCTTAAATGGAACCGCTAAAAGTTTGAACTGTTTCCTTACCTGAGAAGAAAAGAAGAGCTTTGTTATTCAGTTAGACAACTGAGCGGTTCAAATATCGGTTTTCCCAAACAACACAGCAAGAAGCGTACTTCACGACTGTTTTTACCGCCGAGCCAACGAGCTCCATTCTGCAGCAGAAGGACATAGTAAGAAAAAGGACAATATTTGAAACGTAGAATTTCTGCAAACATTTCCTTTTAAATTTGTTTGTCATAAATAGACTTCGATTTTTGAGCCCAAATTTTCTTCTTAGAAAACGCTGAGTTTTTCACGAAGCGGCTTCTTCTACGCGAATACACGCGAGTTGTAAACAATCCATCGAGCACAAAACTCAGCTACAGTAAATGGAAAAACGCCGTATCGAATCCTTCCAAGTCTTTTCTTGCCTTTAAAAAAGTCAGCCCTGGGATTTTGTCGACTTTTAAAAGATCGTTCTCTAAAAAAATGGGAAAAACACCGAGCTGGATATAGCCTTCCGCACGAGACGGCACACGAACAAAAAAAATCAATGATCTCTTACCAAGTAACATTCTTGTCGAAAATCTATAAAAATACTTTTCTAAAATACGACAAAAATTACTATACGTAATACCTCAGACTGTTCAGTTTCCGCCATCTCAGTGAAATAACGCGGGCTGAATTAATCAATCAAACCGCAAATGGGACTAAGAACGTGTGACATGTCATGTTTGACGTCATATGCTCAGCGGGTATACGTCACGATTGTCACGATAATGCACATGCACATGCACATGCATACGGGTCCCAGGCCCCTCCCAGTCCCCCCACAACCGTTCGCAGAGCCTTTGTTCTCCGTGCTCCTACTCCTTCCAAGACTGTTTGGACCGTATTGCTACAAAAGCTGAATTGGTGATAAAAGGTCAATTGCGTTGAATAAAATTAAATACTCGACTTCTTTGCTCATAGCTTTTAACTTGTCCTTCTAGTATATTGCTTATCATGCTCTTTCAAAACTTTCCAAAGCCGCCATCACAACACTTCTCGCGAGTACACTTAAGTCATGTCAACAGCATGAAAAATATTCTTTCACGTGCTGGTCTATTCTTGTCAACTAATTGTAGCGTCTGATAGATTCAAAGTCCCTCAGGCGGTCGTTAGGAGCCAATCAGCCGTCGTGTCCAAAATCTGGACGAACTGATTTAACGGTGCTAACGATTGGATCGGCGCCATCAAAGCAATAGGGCTCTGCTCCAGAGGCTTTTCGCGCGGGTCACTATAAAGACTTGACAGGAACCGAAAACCGCGCTAGAAAAGTCTCTGGCACCCAGGGTATGAAGATGTTGGTATCACTGTAGAATACCTGAACCCTTCTTTCCTTGTAAAGAAGCCGAACGGCGGTTCTCGTCTTGCCACTGCCTTCGCTGACGTAGGCCGGTACAGTAAACCCCAACCATCCTTGCTGCCTGACGTTGACTCCACCCTGCGTCTCATCGCCCAGTGGTCTCATATCATCGTCACAGACCTGACAAGTGCCTTTTACCAAATACCTTTGGCTAAAGAGTCCATGAAGTATTGCGGCGTTGCCACTCCGTTTAAAGGGGTACGAGTCTACGTTCGTTCCGTTATGGGTATGCCCGGATCGGAAACTGCCCTTAAAGAGGTTATGTGCCGCGTTCTAGGCCCACTACTACAAGACGGATCCGTGGCCAAAATCGCTGATGATCTGTACTGCGGCGACAGCACACCCCGAGAGCTACTCCACAACTGGAAGAGGGTCCTACGAGCCCTACACAACAGGGGCGCCCAACGGCAATTTTCGGGAAAATATCTGTTCGGAAGACGATTTGAGAACTTCTTAAAAGCCTTGTAAACAACATTTTAAAGAACGAACGGACGGAGAGGTAGGATTTTCGAACATCTACAAAATGGTATAATTACCCATTTTAAACGGATATTTACCCTAAAAAAGGCCACCTAGAATTTACGGGAGCCTTTTCCTGGCTGAAATTTTCGAAAAGGTAAGTTTTGATCCCTATAATTTTCGGATCACTAGACTTTCAGCTAGGAAATCCGAACAGATGAATTTTTAGGAGATAAAAATATGCCTATATCTACCGTTTAAATACTAAAATACGTTCAACAATGATATATCAAGTGGTTTTGAACTATACCCTCGTTGGGTGCCCCTGACACAAGTACAACCTGCGTTTGTCTGCCCATAAGACCATCATCAGTCCCAAGACTACCACTATTCTCTGCTGGATCTAGAATACTGACTCCCTTTCCGCCAGTCCCACCGTCTTAACACCCTTGCCACGTAGCCCGAGCCGAACCCAGTCGCTCGCTTGAGATCCTTCATTGGCGCTTACAAAGTCCTTTCCCGTGTCATTCCAAGGTGCTTAAGTTACCTCACTCCACTGTATACTGTAACAGCCGGTCGTCCTTCTCAGGAATCCATTAACTGGACCGATGATCTAAGGGCCGCATTCCGTAGTGCTCAGAACGCCCTTTCCTCTGCACTCACCATCACGTTACCCAGACCCGAGGACCAGCCATGGATTGTAACTGATGGAGCAGTCCGGGACCCTGGAATAGGTGCCATCCTCTACGTAACGCGCGGAGACAAGTTACATGTCTCTGGCTTCTTCAGCGCCAAGTTGCGGGGATCCGAAACAACATGGCTTCCATGGGAGGTCGAAGCCCTCTCCACTGCGGCTGCAACGAAGCACTTCAGTCCGTATCTTATTCAGTCCGCTAAAAAGGCCTGCATTCTTACTGACAGTAAGCCTTGCATTCAAGTGTATGAGAAACTCTGCCGCGGGAAGTTCTTTGCCAGCCCTCGCGTATCCACTTTCTTGTCTGTTGTGAGTCACTACCAAGCTTCAGTCAGGCACGTCTCCGGCGCTGCTATCTTCCCGTCAGACTTCGCAAGCGGAAACGCCGCCTCCTGTGAAAACGAGACCTGTCAGGTGTGCTCCTTCATTTCGCGAATCAGGGACTCTGTTGTCCGAGCCCTGTCTGTTCAAGATATTCTCCAAGGCAATGTTCACCTTCCCTTTACCAGCCGGCCCGCCTGGGTGGCTGTTCAGTCTGAGTGCCCAGATCTACGCCGCACCCACGCTCACCTCGTCCAGGGTACGAGACCTTCCAAAAAACTCACAAACATAAAGGACGTCAAACGTTATTTACAAGTTGCGTCAGTTGCAGATGATGGCCTCCTTTTTGTGCGGCGTCATGAACCCTTGTCACCGTCCAGATAGTGCATCATTGTCCCACGCCAAGCTTTGGACGGTTTTTTGACCGCTCTTCACATTCAACTCAGCCACCCGTCCTGTCACCAATTGAAAATGGTCGTCAAACGCTATCTATACGCTCTCGATCTGGACAAGACTGTCTCTCGTCTCTCTGATGGGTGCCACTCCTGTGCAGCAATCCGAAGCTCTCCAACCGCACGTATTG